TGTGATGCAAGCAGACTGTGGGCTAATAAATGTTGGCAGGTGTAAAAGCTAATTTGCAGGCTGATAAGGATTAGGAAAAAAAAATGTAAATAAGACACCTGCAGACTCATCCATTAGCAGTAAAAAAAAAAAAAAAAAAAAGACCCTCCTCTTCACCAGTTCACAGTAGGTTGGTAGAAAGAAATTGTGAAGGCTCTACACTCCTGTTTTAGGAGATAAATTAGTATGAATGGGAAGCAGTTTACTTGCTGAAACTGTTGTAATCCTATCCTTTTTATTTTAATAAATCTTGTTAAGAAGACTCTATGATTCATGCATAGAAAAAGATTACTCCTGATTTGAGACAACTGTCCAAGAACCTGATAGTAGGCTGAGGAAAGTAGAAGATAATGGCAGATGGATTGGATCAAAGAGATTACTGGAATGTCCTGGGAAAAGCTGAAGTTATTACTTAAGAAAGGTAAAGATGGTGAGCGTAGAGTTTTCAGAACTTAAATTGCTGCTTAACATCTGTTTTATAATTTTTTATTCAGAGGAGCACTTTAGCAAATATCCTGGCAGTATAATTTATCCTTTCTGAAACACATCTTCTGTAACTGTATTCCACATTAAGGAAAATTAATTGCCATGGTAACTCAGTGTTCACAAGTAACTGCTTTTTCAACAAATGCATGCAAAGAAAACATTCACATTTTTCCACTTTATCGAGTAGAAGTACTGTACTGCAATTTCACTGCTTCAGAAGCAAAACAGGTCTAAAGCAATTGCATAAAGTTCTGTCTTAGAGATGCCCACCTCAGAAAAGTATCTTCCAGGTATTTCATACTACAAGTATCCTCAAACTGGGGCAGGACAGTTACCAGCACAGGCACCATGTTGGGGATGCTATACTAGGCTCTCAGTCTCCAAAGTAACAGTTAGCTACCAGTAGTGCCAGAATGACAGCAGTTGTTTTTATATAATTCTTGAGATCCATGGGTTATAGAGATTCTCAAGGCAATATATGCATTATGACATTGGCAGAAAAATTCTAGTAATTGCTAGTCTCTGTTGACTTCCTTGCTTCTTTCCTTTGAGCCTCATCACAGAACCCCCTATCCCAGCAAGCCCCAATAAACATGTCGGATAATATTAAGAAATCACAGATAAATGAGGCTTGACTTGTTCCCAAGCTATTACTGGAACACATGACAATATATTTAGAAATGCAGAGTTCATACTTGAACTTCAGCAACAGGTGAATTACATCCTTACATTCTTTGAAGCCAGGAATGTTGATGGCCTTGAAAGGATAAAGACTGATTCATATGCCTGATTCTCTTTCCTTCCAGGTATTTATTGTTCTTTATATATGGAAAAATCAATATGAGTGTTAGCCTTTTGCAAAATTGTCTACTGCTTTTCCATGTTGTCAATTCAATGAGGAAATTCCAAATATAGGAAGTGACTGCTTCCAGTCTGTGGCTAAAGGGACTCATTCTCTCTCTTTTTTAAAGTTTCAGGATAAAGATCCTAATATTCACAGATTTAAATATCTCTCTGTACTTTTTACTCTGTTCTCTTTCAAAGGGGATCTCTAACATCTTACTGTCAGAGGACACCACTGATCTATTCAGTCCTATTTTAGTTGTTGAACACTTATTCAATATCACCATAATAAGTTACATTGTTTCTCCACTTTCTGTGCTGGCTGCCATGTTAGCTTAGCAACTTTTCAACAGAAAAGAGGAACGATGACAGAACAAGATTTCAGGGCAATAGGCCATCTCTTTGCTGCTTATAGCTGATCAGAAAAGAATGAAGGAAACAAATGTTAATCCTTATTGCTTCTGTCATTACCTACTTGGTTAGAAAAGGCAGATGAGAAGGTAATATCCAAAAAGAGGGAAAGCAACAGAGCCAGGAGGTAGCAATGGGCCCTCTGTTTCAGTGTGGGCCTTTGAAAGAACCTAACATGTCACCTTCTCTTACTTTTTTGGAATTTGGGCTTTGACTTCCAGATTCAGGACACAGCTGGCCTTGACCGCTTTTAGAACCTCCTTTATGACTATTATGAAGAATCAATAGTAAGATCCTTCCCTAGAGACTGAAGGCAACAATAAGTAGATTTGTGAAGGTACAAGCCTATTTAAAGTAGAAGTGATTTGCTACTGAAGCCAGGACACTAGTAAATGCTTATCAGCCCAATACATTTATAGTTCAGTTTAAAAAAAAGGTTAACATTCTTATTTTAAAGCAATGAAAAGCAGTCAGATACTGAAAAGCAGCATCTGCAGCCTTCCTACTGACAGCAGCGTCTGTTAAATATTGAACACAACAATAATGAGTTTTGTGTTGCTTATTCATTAGCCACCAGCACACAAAGTCTCAGGAAGAAATGGAAAGGGTGTTAACAGGACTAGGTACAAAATGAATAGCAATAATTTTAGATGACTTAATGTATCATTTCCCTAACTACCAACCCATCTAGATCCAACTGCAGCACACATAATTTTGTCCAGCTGCATTACAGCCATCGGTCTGCACAGCAGCCTAACTTTACACAAATCATACTGGGTGACCCTGGGCTAGATGTGATTACTCAGCCATATTTTATCTCTCTATTGTCACAGCGATAAATGGTGTGAGGGACAGTACCATTATATTCTCAAATTCTGGAGGAAGAATAAAATAATTACAATTTTAAAAATATATTCTGATCATAACGTATTTTGGCACACATGGAAAGGAATCTGTAAAATAAGATAGGAGATGCTGAGGGTTAGTGATGAATGAGATGCAATGTGATAAGAGTGTTCTGGGAGGATTGCAAAGTTCTGTGACAGTGATATTGACTGTCCTTGGGAGTCACTTAAATCAGCAAAGTCGCACAATTATGAGGGAAAAATGACTTGCTGGCTTGACAGACTGTAGTGCAAGTAAAAATGGTCAAGAAGCCCAAACAGAGATAGCAAGACTCTGGAGGGCTCAAGGAGAAGATCAGCCCATCTTTACATGACAGTGCTTGAAACACAAAGGAATGAGAAACAATGCTGGCAGTGCCTGAACAGAAAGCAAAAATCCTTTATTGTACACAGTACAGAACGTAATGCAGCTTTGCAGGAGATATATAAGCCCTGCTCAGGCAATAATCATTTCACATCAATCCTCAGATTAACCCTTTTTGTACTATGTACTCCCAAACCAAATTAAAGAAATTGACAAACAAAAATAACACAGTTAATCCCACTGGTTTGGTTCAGCCCTGGGGCAGAATGGGGACGGCAGCAGTTTGCTGCTGCCACCCTGTGCTTTGTGACAGGCCATCTGATACATTCAGGGGAGAGTTGCTGAGTCGTTTATAAAGAGTTAAAAAAAAAGTTAGTCAAAATTCCCCCAAGTTATCAATGCAGAAAAAGGAATCCTATACAGCATTTACAATGAAACATGGAGCCCGGATGCATATTTAGGCCAAGCACATTACTGGTGCATGCCAGCAAGGCTCACAGGAAAGAGCAGAGGGGGATTTCTGAAGGATCCAGAGATGTTTTATAAATATACACATGTATGTACGTATATATGTATGTATGCACACATACACTAAGTAATGTGGACTTTCTCCCATTCTCTGACTTTTTACAAAAAAAGTTTTAATATTTGATGCCCATTGGAGATTTTAAGAAATATCTAAGGGTGTAACACAACTTAAGCAAAAGATACATCTGTGTACACATGCTTCATCTCTCTTGCTTGCAAGCTCAGCAACAATTGGAAAAAAAAGCAGTAGCAAGGTGAATGCTACCGAAGGATCAAAACTGCTATCTTGGGGAGTTCAGTGACTAGAGCTGCCTTGTATGGCAGACATACTGTTCTCTAGCAGAGAAAAAGCCAAGCAACTCTCATTTGCTGTCGAGAAGGAACACATTCTGAACGCAGAGCAAGCTGTGTAAACAGTTTTGGGGCAGCATCTAGTGCAAAGGCAGACAACAAAGCTGCATAGGGTACTATAATGCATGCATTTCAACTACTTCCTCCCAAGTTGCAGCACCTTTAGTATAAATGCTGCCAGAAGCAAGAAGGCAATAGCACTGCCCTTAGGTGAAACTGCCTTTGATTAGGGGAAACAAAGCCCAACCAACAAACATCTGGATTCAAATGTTGCCCCATACCCTTGGCAGCCCCTTTCCCATCTCTAAAAGTAAGCCATTCACATGCAGCCTTTCAGCAGAGAGGGTGGCCTGCTAGGTTCAAAAGGTTTGGGTACTTAAGTGCTGTCCTTTGGATTGCCTTTCTGAGACCAGTAATAACAACAAAAAGTAAGGAAAAAAAAAAACAAACCAGAAGAAAAGGCTTCCTCAGATTGAAAAGTTTTGCACTGAGAACCTGGGGGGAAGTGGCTGAGCTAACTCAGTCAAGCCAGCTGTTCCACACTAAGCCACAACCTCTTCTGAAAGGGCTTTCGCTGCACTGGCTCCTCATTTTCTCTGCAAATCAGAGCCCTTTCCCTTATACAAGGCGGAGTACAAAAATTGTGATTGTTACATAGCATTTTTTCTTGACAATTTGCTAATCATACATAGTCTCTTGGAGTCCTGCAAACATGTACATCACACATGTTCCTAGCAACAGGGCCCAGAAGTCATGGCCTTCCCCTTGCCCTCCCCCCC